GATGGTGATGATGATGCTGATGATGATCATGGTGAAAACTGATGATGATGATGATGGTGATGGTGATACCTGATGATGATGATAATGATAATGGTGATGGTGATGATGATGACGAGGATGATGATGGTAATGGTAATGATGATGATGAGGAGGAGGAGGACGATGATGAGGATGGCGTTGATGATGATGATGATGATGATGATGGCGATGGTGATGGTGATGATGGTGATGGTGATGTTGGTGATGGTGCCGGTGATAGTGATGATGATGCTGATGATGATGCTGATGATGGTGATGATGATGACAACGATGATGATGATGGTGATAATGAAAACTGATGACGATGATGATGATGATGGTGATGGTGATGGTGATGGTGATGATGGTGATGGTGATGGTGATGGTGATGATGATGATGATGGTGATGATGGTGATTTTGCTGATAACGGTGATGATGGTGATGATGGTGATGATGGTGATGACGGTGCTGATGTGCATGATGATGGCGGTGATGATGTGCATCATGACGGGTATGATTGGTAGAACAGCTTTGCAGACGGGTCCTGTACATGGGATTTGCAGTCTCGGGCCTTTGGCTGTTAGGGGCTTACTGTAGGGCCTTCATAATTAGAATAGGGTTTTGGGGTATATTTTACTACTACTATTGGAAGAAAATAATATAGGTAATTACTCAGGCCCCTATATTAAGGTCTCTCATGCAGCCGCGGTTCAGTAGGGCTCTCTGCACCGGCATGGCCGTTGGATGGCCTCAGGTCGGTATCCGAGCTCGGGCAGGGATTCAGAGGTTGGGGTTTAGGGGGCTTAGGGGCTTAGGGGGTTTAGGGGGTTTAGGGGGCTTAGGGGGCCTAGGGGGTTTAGGGGGTCTAGGGGGTTTAGGGGGTTTAGGGTTTAAGGGTTTGGGTTTGAGCACTTGGGGGAGCTTCAGAAGGGCTCACTAGGCCTCCACAACAAGAGAACTCTACAGGGAGGTTCTGGGATCAGGGCCGAGTTACTATCGTTCTGAGCTTTGGGGTTCAAGGTTCGACATATCTGTTAGTTCGAGCTCACATCTTTGAAGCAGACTAGCTCTACCCCAATAAGACAACCTAAACCGGAAAAAGCTTTTCAAGAGAATGTCGCTCAAACACTTCCATGGTGGCTCGAGCCAGCCAAGAGTTCGGGACTTCGAGCTTGCGGTTTGGGCGTTCGGGCATAGGGCTTTAGGGTTTGGGGCTTCAGGTTTGGGGTTTAGAATAAGGAGCCCCCAAAATAATGTAGGTAGTTATGAAGGCCCCTATATTAACGTTGAGGATTTAGGGTTTCAGGTTTAGGGTTGAGGGCATACGAGCCGAGCGACATGCAGCTGCAGACGTCGGCTTCACTTAGGCAGCCATGCTAGGGTTTAGGGTTTAGGGTTTAGGGTTTAGGGTTTAGGGTTTAGGGTTTAGGGTTTAGGGTTTAGGGTTTAGGGTCTTGGGTTTAGGGTGTAGGGTTTAGGGTGCATGCTTGCAAAACCGCCTGGACGCGCGCATCGGGCATCGGGGTTACTATAGGGGCCTTATCGTAAATATAGTATAATATACCCCAAAACAGCATGTAAGTTATTACGGCCCCTATTTGCCTACTTCTCAGCACCTGAGGCACCTCTTCTGAAGTATAACATGGACCCCCAAATACCCCGCCATTGAGAAGCACAGTAGCCCGTCATGACCCCGTGTTTGGGGCAGGGCCACTGACCGCCAACCCCAAACTAAAACACCCTAAGCTCGAAACCCTAAACCCTAAACCCTAAACCCCAAACTAAAACACCCGAAGCTCGAAACCCCAACTCTAGACCTTCTAAACCTCTATATCTGGCCAAGCCCCCTATAAGAAGAATACAAAGCTGTGAAAAAACAAACAAACTTTGGGCTCAAACCCCTTAGCTGCAACCAGAAGTGATATGAAAGCTCTATTAGACCATCTTTGGGCTTCTAATTCCCTAAACCCCAAACTCTAAAGCCTAAACGTTAGCTTCAGGGTTTAGGGTTCAGGGTGCTTGAGGAGCCCGCAGGATGGGCATTGGTGATGATTTAAGCTTCTGGGTAGTTATCTTAAGTGAGGGTCCCCTTTCCCCGAATAGTACGGCACCCTTAGAAAAAAAGAACCCTATATGAGAACCTCATTTGGGTAGTTCTCTAAATTCGGGTCCCTTTTTAGCTCCCCAATATTATAGCACGGCACCCTTATAAAGAGGACCCGAAAAGGGACCCCCCATTTAGAGAACTACCCTTTTAGACGGGTGGTTCTCTACGGTTTAGGGTTTAGGGTTTAAGGTTTAGGGATTAGGGTTTAGGGCTTGGGGTTTAGGGTCTCTTGGAGATGCAAGTGGCCCCACCCAGCTCGCGAAGGTCTCCAGTGCAGATCCCACACCTTTGTGCATTTTAGGGTGTTTAGTGTTAAGGGTTCAGGGTTCAGGGTT